AAACTCTTTGGACTTCAGTAAAAACCATTCTGCAGAACTTGATGTGACTCACACATTGCCAAAAAAAACAGAAGATTCAGCACATTGACTCTTCCTCCAGTTGTCTCCAATTCGAGGATGTTAGTGATGATGGGTATATTTGAGAGGACGCATTCCACCAACTTTAATGAGGTAAAGACATTTGAGAGAATTTTATTCACTTAACAATCCTTAGCACCAGGAATGCTACTGTTCTAGCATTACTATGAAGGCAAATGTGGGATAAGGAAGAGGATTTAATATTGAGCATCATGAGAGATGAGAGAAATAATGACTTTCAGAGCCACAATAGACCTGTTTGAGTGGCTGTCCTGGCCTTGAGGTCCATGTGAAGACCTTATTCAGGCTTCGTTAATGAATCGAGCTCTGCAAAGGAAACACTCCTCACTTTTTTTATCTGGGGGAATGTATATGCTAGGAATGGGATTCATTCCAAACTGGTTTATTTCTTGCAATTTGCCTCTTTTTTTCCCCTACGTTTTCTCCTCCCAGGCCATAGCATTTCACACAGTGGAATCAATTAGTAACCTACACTGTTCTGAGGTGCGTTTTGCTGTAGGTGGGGATCTGACCAAAAAATCCCTTATTCTAACAGTTTGAGAGCAATCTCAATTACTAACAAGAAGAAAAGACAATTTTAAATGTTGAGGAAAATTTGAGATATTGGCCAAAAATGCCCAGGTTAGAAAATAATGTAATCGGAACATCTCCACTAGCCTAAGTTTATCTAGCAAACCACAAGAGACTATGCATAACATTAATACCACAAGACAAAATCATGGCAATTGCACCATCGTTGAATCATTTGTACTGCACGTAAGGAGACCACATGACACACAGTGCCTGTGCAGGTTATTCAAAAGGGCTATCTAAATAGTCTTCTCTATAGTCATGCAAATTTTGTCCTTCCATGCATTTATTTAATTCCCTTTTCAAATTGACTCCTAAATCCTTTGGTGATGCATTCCAAATTGTAACAATGCCCCCACGTAAACACATGCACACACACGCGCACACACACACACACTCATATACACATGTGAATCTATGGGGTGAATTTGTATTTGCAGATACATTCTAGTTTGTCCAAAAAGCACACAATTTATAGATAGTCAATGTGGTGTTTTATAAATTCCTACTTTAGAAATAAAACCAGCCTGACTGCAAACCAAAATACAAACAGATTCGAAACAAGGCCTCACACCGAACATGCATTGCCTGACCTAAAATGTTACCTCTTCTTTACGCTGATAAAACCTCTAGTTCTCGCAGAACTGTGACTTGTAAGGAATTCGGGGATTTACATGTACATATTAATCAATTAAAACCTAATTAATTGAAGATTTAACAGGACTTTAGATTTGTTTGATACATCCTGATCAGTGGCGTGACCCTTTGATCTTTTACTTATAAATAATCTCTCACTAACACCTGAAGAAGTGAGGCTCCGAAAGCTTGTGTTTTTAAATAAACTTGTTGGATTATAGCCTGGGATTGTATGATTTCTGACCTTGTCTACCCCAGTCCAACACCGGCACCACCACATCATATTTTCCTCATGTCACCTCTTTTGCCCATTACCTTAGATCTGCATCCTGTGTGTACATAAAAGTCTATGTTATTTATATTGTCCCTGAAAATATTTAGTTAGCATTCTGAAATTTGTGAATGACACACATCATTCAAAAAATTCTATAAAAGCTGGGACAATTTCCAGGAATAATTAACAGGTCCGACATGATCTTGCTGAACTATTTTAGCAACTGTATCATACAAAAATCAGAAATATTGCATCTTTAGCTTTATCTAGCATCAAACAGTTGATAACTTAATGAAAGAACAATTCTGTTAGATATCAAAATCCAAATTTCATACTAAGGGACACTCAAAACTAAAATCATTTGTTTGTCCGTAATTGTATTATAAAGATGGAAGAATCATAATGCAAGAACAAGAACAGAAATTGCTGGAATAGCTCATCAGGTCTGGCAGCATCTGTGGAGAGAAATCAGAGTTAATGTTTTGAGTCTAGTGACCCTTCCTCAGAACTAAATTGGGATATTGGGGCTCACTTCTATTAAGAGGTCAGAAAACTGAATAATATACCCTTTTTCCATTTAGTCTATTCATCACTTTATTCTTTATGTTGAGATCTCCACATCTGATAAAATATAGCTTTGTAATTTGCAGCCTAATGATGCTACCATTACCTATTATTTTTATTTGCAGGTGTACTGACACAGTTTTCTTTTCTGAACCACTGAGTCAAAAAGACTACCCTAGGATGTTATTCTAAAAATAGGTCTGCAATCATTGTGTATCTGTTTTGCTTGTGCCAATAATTTGCAAGTGTAATACATATGTGATTGAATTCATTGATGTGCAGTAAGAACTCTGCATGACACTATTTTAAAAGGTCAATAGCATAATATATTTCATTGTACGCATGCATACTGCTTAAATTAGCTTTGTGAGTTGCTTCTTTCTCTATTAGCTGTTTGATTTATAAATAGTTCATAGGAAGAAAGTAGGTAGCCAGTTCTTCAGAGAAAACTCTCTTCATCTGTTTCCTACAAATTGATTACAAGCTAAGGGTGGTAATAGGGAAGGAAATGAACTTTAAAATTAAACACATTCTCGATAGCTATCGGAATCTTTCCAGTATATTGGGGGAAATTATTTCCACTGGCAGAAGGATTCCACTGGCAGAACCAGACTACACAGATTTTAAGATAATTGCAAAAGATCCACAGAGATGTTTATGCAAGTTGTTATGATCTGGAATGCTTAAAAGGATGAGAGAAACAAATTTATTTGTAACTTTCAGAGTTAGAAATGTTAGAAGGGGAAAAATCAGGGCAACAGGGAAAGATCAAGGCCTAGGGCTAATTGGAAAGACCTTTTCCAAGAACCAGCACATGCCTGGTTGGTTGAGGGACTGTGTTCTGCCTTGTAAAGATTTATAATTCTCTACAGTGAAATAATTTTATTCACAACCTGCTTTATACTTTGATTTTTATATTCGTTTACATGTAAATACAGTCACATAGGAGATGATTCCTTCATGTCAAGTTAAATTAGTAGTCATGATTCTACAGATTGAACTACAAAACAGCTGTAATTCCAGATAGCAGGAATAATATCCCTTTTAAACAACATGTTCAAATTTCTCTCAAATTGGTGAGGAGTTTCTGCAATCCTATGTTTCTGCCAATGTAGGCAATTTCTCATGCCAAACTTCAGAGGGTGGGACAGAAATCACTATCATGGAAAGTTGATTGAGTGACAAACAAATGTTGTACCCAGTGTAATAATATATTCATTGTTATTTATAGATAAGGGAGTTCTTTGCAGTGAAAATATTCCTCTGGAATTGTTTTCTTCTCTTCAGATATGTTTGCTTTAGAGAAAAAAAAGCAGTGTGCAATGCTTTGGCAGAGACACTGGATATTTCAGTTGCAGGCTACTTATCAAAGTTACCAGGTTCCTTAGGGTTAGATCAATGTGCAAAGGAACATTATAGTTCATTTCTTTTCAAAAATCATAAAACTGAGTAATATCATACATTTTCCACTTGGGCAAGAGTATGGACATTCTTTTCATTCTTTATTATGAAATGTGAAAAGTTTATTCATTTTAAACAATCACATTATATTCAAGTTTGCCTTTGAGAAAATGAGGGAATGGATCTGTTGGAAGTTGTATGTTTCAATTGATATTTTCTGAGTATGGAAGCATCTATGTTATATACAGATGTTATTAGCTAGGTGGCTTTTTCTCTGGTACTTACCAAACTGAGAATCATCTACTTCTTTGCAACGACAATTCTGTGAACATGATCAAATAATTCCCTAAATGTTTGATGAAACTCAAGCCTGAAAAAGCTCAAGTAGGGGCATCTGATTTGAGAGACATCCACTTTATATTTACTAGGCTGTCATTGATCCATATTCACCTTAGCCCTTTCTTCATCATCATATTTAACATCCAATATTTTCTCATGATGCTCATTGAATTTAAATTCCAAAATGCAAGATTGTGGGTTGTACTAAGTGGAAGAGTGAATGGTGCTGTGTCATGCTGCATTGTTTGATTTTGGCAATCATTGACTTTCCTGCTGTTACCTGTGAAAGAGCAAAAGATAAATTTCTGAGCAACTTAGCATATGTCTTCAGTGTGCTAGAGTGTAAGGCAATGAAAAGCCTATGGCACCATACCAGTTGGTCTCTGTCTTTTGCTTAATTCCTCAGCAGAATACCTTCATTTTTTGTTTTATTCATTCATGGCATGAGGGCATTGCTGGCTGGGCCAGCATTTATTGCCGATACCCTAATTGAGAGTTAACCACCTCACTATGGGTCTGGAGTCACATGTAGGCCAGACCAGGTAAGAATGGCAAGTTCCTTCCCTAAAGGACATTAGTGAACCAGATGGGCTTTTCCAACAATCAACAATAGATTCACGGTCATCATTGGACTCTTAATTCCAGATTTGTATTGCATTCAACTTGCACCATCTTCCGTGGTAGGATTTGAAACTCAGGTCCCCAGAACATTACCTGAGTCTCTGGATTAACAGTCCAACGATAATACAACTCAGCCATTACCTCCCCTATTTAAAAGGCTGTTAAAATCTTTTGTCTGTTGGAATCCCCTTTCAGCCCTTCAATTACTTGGTATATTGACATGACAAGAACAGACAGTATTAAAGGGGTCAACAAGAATTACAGTTTTCTAGTTCTGTCATGGTATGCACAATGTAATGCAATGTGACACTTTTTAAATGAAAAAAAATCACATTCATGTATCTCTTCAGTTAAATGTATTCATGTCAGAACAGACTGAATATTTCAATGTTTGACTTCAAATATTATAAACTGTCAAGTTCAAATACGTGCTACTGTCAATAGTAAAACCACATTTTCTTTGTAGCTAACAAAGGAACTTGTTCATTACCTTCTTCTAGAAATTTTGATGTGCTCAGAAATCCATGTTCTGACAGTATGGCCCAGACCTTGATTAATGAGCTATGTTCTCAATCCAAAAGGTTATCTTGTCTTTCATGGTACTCATCAGTAAAAAATCAGGTCATGGTCACTAACTAGGATTTGAAAACAATGAAACAAATACATTTTATGAAGAGAATGGTCAGCAACATGTTTAATTATTACATTGTGACCAATTGCAGACTCTAATAATAATTATGATTGCATTGCACCCAGCATAAAAATTCAAACAATATTTCATTAAATCAAATTAGTTTAAGATATATAATGATATTCAATAAATCAGGAAGAAATGTAGAAAACCTTATATCTAGAAAATTTCTCCTCAATATTAGAAGTAATATGATGTTTAAAAGTTTCAGAACTAAGGAACTAAACTACATTGAGTTACATGATAGTTCTAAATGGAATTCTCAGGTTGCAGTTAGATTGCATTGACTGATTGAAGACAAGTTCATGCTTAACTGTGCCATAATTATGGTGATAACCTTTACTTTATATTCTGGAATGGAATTCATGAGCCTGAATTAGGGAGGTGTTGGGAAGGAAGAAGGGGTGAGTGTTGTATAAGGCAGTTAGTAACTGAAAAGGTGAACTGACATCATGAGATAAGATCATTCATCAGGATGTAAAGGACCATTCCTGAGAGGATCTATTCTGTGTAGTTTTGTAGTATTCATGCGTTCCAGTTGTTCAACTGTTTTTCAGATGTCTCTATACTGTGTATCAGTATGTTTCAGTGGAAGTAATGTGTAATTACATGTGAGTATAGTCTGAGGTCTTACCAAAGTCTCATGTATCTCAGATCTAATGTAACTAGCTATTAAGTATTATCTAATAAACCTATTCTGCTTAACAAGACCCAGACTAACTTATGCTGAAGATTTTGTCAGGGAGTGGGAAGCAACAGAATAGATGGTAGGGAACAGAAAGGAGCATCAGCAACAGAAGGAAAACAGTGGTGGAATGGACAGTTGAAAGTAGGAGGGGAATGATAAGACAGTGCAGTGAAGAGAATGGGAGGTTTTAGGAAACAGATGGCAGGTTATGTGTGGAAAAATCCCACACCTGCTGATGGAGGGAGTGGAAATGGAGTTCCTGTTCCTTTTTAATGGTAGGAGTTACAGTGGTTTAATTTTATTGATGATGCAAAGTTAGGTGGGAATGTGAGCTGTGAGGAGGACACAGAGACTGACTGCAGAGATATAGACAGTACAAGGGCAAGGGCAACATGATGGCACATGGACAGTAATATGGCTAAGTGTGGATTTTCACTTCAGTAGTAAGACTAGAAAAGCAGGAGTATTTTTGAAGGTGTGAAACTTGTAAATATTAATAGTCAGAGGGACTCAGGTGTACTCAGACAATAAATATAAAAGCTATGGATGCACTTAGAACAGGCAATTGAGGATACAATAACATGTTGGTCTTTATTGTAAGGAAATTAAGTATGTGAGTAAAGAAGTCTTGCTATAGTTATACATGGCTTTGATGAGAGTGCAGCTGGACTACTGTATGCAATTTTGGTCTTCGTTTTAAGAAGTAATACTTGAATTAAAGGCAATACAATGAATGTTGATTAGATTAGTCCCTGTGACATGAGTATTATACAATTATGAGAAGATGTGTAAATTGTATCTATATTATCCAGGGTTTAGAAGGATAAGAGGTGATCTTATTGAAATATACAACATGCTTAAACATCCTTTTCTGATGACAACTAATTGCAGAATAAATACTTGTAATTCAGACAGAAATAACAAACAAATCCAATTTAGTTGAAAGGAGTAGAAAATGAGCATCTGTTGAGTCTGAACAAAAAGAGGCATATATACTTAAGAACAAGATATGTTTTTTGCATGATAGCAACTGGTATAGTTATATTGGTGAAATAAAAATAATTACGAAGACTATCAGGAGTTAATAATGACGTAACCGACTCCATCAGTACCTTGAGCTAGACCCCTCATTCTTCACCGTTGACTGTGTGACATAATCAAATTGTGTGGAGCAGAGTGGCAGACGGAAATCTCACATTTGACTTGATTTGATTTGATTTATTGTTGTCACACATATCGGTACTTCTAGGTGGTAGAATGTTGTGATTCTAGCAATTTTTGGTCCAGTGTTTTCAGCATTTTCTTTAGACTAATCTGCAGTTTTGGGCATTCATACAATGTTGTGCTGCACAAGCCTGGATATACTACAGGAATTGGAAAACAGGCTTCTAGTCTACAAGTACAGGAAGTTGTGTTCCATTATGATCTCACTCAGCTAATCCACTGTCATACAGTCATCGTTACAATACCACATGCCTTTATGTTATGTATTGTGTTCACTTATTCCATAACTTTGTCAGGGTTATATGCCGCCAAAGATTTTAGCCAAATGCCAAATTAAAGCTTGCCTGTGCTTGATTCATGATTTATAGGTTTGTAATAAATGCTTTTCTTTCTATTTCAACAAAATTGTTTTGCAATTATCAGTATAGAGGATTTAGTCATTGGGATATACAAACATTCTTTCTTATTAATGTCAATTTCAAGCACTCAACTGACAGATACAATATGAGGTGGATGCAAGATGTATCTCCTTGCATTCTGTCCTGATAATCCACTTTCATATCTGTTCATTTATTCTTGCCATTTCCCAGAGCAACCATCCTTGTTGCTAAGCAAGACTACCAATTTAGTGCCAAATTATAGGCAGTTTCTGCTCTGAATTCACACTCAATTGTTGTTGGATTGAAACTGTCAAAATTCAATTTACTCAGGCTCTTAAATCAAACAGAAAGTTTCACTGTATCACACAAAGTTTCTTCAATTTTTAACAAGCAAGGAAAGGTGCAAACAAAGTTATTTCCATCCCAGAATAAGAGGGCACCAGAATGCCATGTGTGTAAGAGACTTGATATTCATTCAACAGCAAGGAAGCCTCACTTTGTTTGACTAATTAGAATAACTGAAAGACTTAGCCCTTTAACTATACAACACCAGATGAATTGTTTAAAAATTCTTCCTTTAATTACTGTGCGTTTCTTTTGTTGTACTGAAGTGATGGGAAGGAATAGCTGTACTTGCTGCTTGCACTTGAAATGGAAAATACCTTGCAAAGAAATGCATGAATGTTGTTCTGAATTATCACTGTGTGTAAGAGGGCCAATGTCAGCTTAGCCGAAGATTTTGGGTTCAGTGGTGTGAAGCTAACTGCCTCAGTCAGATTAGGTGTTTGGTTAAAAAGAAATGGACACCTCTTTCTTCCAAAAATGAAATCAGTTTCTTCCCAAATATCAGTCTCTCAGATGAGAATGCTGAAGTTTGGTATGAGAAATTTCAATCTGCAGTAAATCCAATCATTAGGCTATCTGACTGTCAAATTTCGATGAAGTAGACAAAATAATTTCTAACTAAGAATCAATTTGTGTTTTTTTTCTTACAAAGGCCTCTGTCTTAACTGAACAAAAGGGAGCAGTCGCATTTCGGGTTGAGTGACTCAGTTCTCCCCTGATCCAGTCCCTGCCCACGGAGATCCTCAAAACACTACTGATAAGGGTGGTGCTGCTGTAGTCTGGTGGACTGACCTCTACATTGCAGAGGCGGAGTGACAGCTCTCTGATATCTTCGCCTATCTCCCCCACGACGCCACGATGGAACATTAGGCAATTGTGTCAACCATGGTCACCAGCCTCATTTCATCTGGCTGTCTCCCCACCACCTCCTCCAAGCTGATAGTCCCCCAACCCTGCACTGCTCACTTCCCAAAATTCACAAACAGGACTGCCCCGGCAGACCCATTGTTTCTGCCTGCCCCTGCCCCACAGAACTCATCTCTTCCTACCTTGACTCAGTCTTTTCTCCCTTTGTCCAATCTCAACTCACTTACATCCGCAAAAAGGGTCACTCAACCCAAAATGTTAACTCTGATTTGTCTCCACAGATGCTGACAGACCTGCTGAGCTTTTCCAGCAATTTCTGTTTTTGTCTCTGATTTACAGCATCTGCAGTTCTTTCAGTTTTCACTTCCTTAATTGAGTTCAAAGCAAAATCTACATGTATGCAATTAGAACAGTCCCTTTTTTTCACACATATTTAATCACAACTTATCTTTTAAAAATATATATATTTTGTATGAATAAAACTTCTCAAGATTTGTCATGCAGCCTCTCTTCAACTTAATTTGAGAACTTCTGAGCAGAACCTGAAGAAAATATGTTTCTAGTGCAGTTGCACATTATTAATTTCCTTTAAGGTAGGAAGATCTACCATCCTCATCTAACCTGGCTTACATCCACAGGAGTACTGCCCACTCTTAAATACCTTAGCAAGCTACTCAGTTGCACCTAACCACTGCAATTTCTTAGAAAAAAAACCATATGGATCACTTTCACCAATCAAGAAAAAGACAAAGGCACATGCAGCCCTGTTGCCCCTGCAAAAGGAATTGTGCCTGAATTGGGAGATGCGTCCCACAGACTAGTTAAGCAACAACTTGACATAGTAATTCACAAGCAATCATACTTACACGTAATGTCCTGGACAGAAATATTGCTTTCGCTGGGTATATCCTGTCCCATCTGTATCTGGCCTGGATTCCCAACTCGAGGACTTGACTATGACCTCAACTAACTTATGAATTGTATTGCTTTTTGTTATCATTGTAAAGATGTGATTAGTTTGTTGGATATTTCTTGATATAGCAAGTAGTATGCTGGGACCATCTAGTTCAGTAGGCTAGACAGCTAGTGCATTTTTCAGATCAATGCCAATCCCTTTAGGGAAGGAAACCTGGTCTGGCCTACATGTGACTCTAGACCCAGAGCAATGTGGTTGACTCTTAACTGCCCCCTGGGCAATTAGAAATGGGTAATAAATGCTGGCCAAGCCAGTGATGCCTTTATCCCATCAATGAATTTTTAAAAAACAACAATATGGGGTTTGATCCACACTCCGGCTGGGACAACTTGGGACTTGCCTTCTTGCAGTAAAATGTCACAGGACCTTACTGCCATTGGATACAAACTGAAGAAAAAGCTCTATACTATGAAACAATTGTACCCTGTGTCTGGAAATGATATCCAGTTGATTTTTAGATGAGA